AGCCAGAAATATGTCCTTGGGAGAGCAGCGATATTTTTTCTCAGCCACATGTTGCAAGTCAACCAAAAAGCACAAACCATTTCAGACTCCATTTTCTTATTGTAAATGGAAAAGTGTTTTGGTTAGTAGTTATTCACTGGATAGTGTTAATTAGATTCAAAGTAAGTTCTAATTCAGACAATGGAAGTTAAGCAAGTTAGAAAATACAGCATTGCAACTATTTACATGCTCTTTGATATATTTTGTACTGTTAAACTTTGTACTGTTAACACTTAGAGGAAAGACAACTTGGGATATAATATTTGTCCCAACGTGGTTAGTCTACTTAGTGGCTAGTTTACTTTTTTTGTCCAAGCTAGGTGGAGTGCAGAAGTCTAATATAGTATGCTAGGAAACAAGATTACTGGCAAATGTTCAGCTAGTAACAAATTAATGCAAAGTTATTTTAAAGTTACAGTGAACTTCATCATAGCCTTCTAAACAGTTTGTCTTGAATCAAGACTTTCATACTTTTATGTGGTGTCGCGATACTGTTAGGTGGAGACAATTTCTCTAATAGTAGAGTATGATGGGTTGGAACTTGGGTCTGGTAGGGGGTCCTCGTGGTGTTGGAGTGTGGATAGTGACTTAAGAAGTTAGTAGGAAAGAAAACAGTCAATTTTGTTAAACCTGTCCTTAATCAACCACCATCTATTTCCTGGCCTCCAGAGCAAAAGGGTGGGACCGTCTCACCCATACACGCTTATAATTTGTTTTGGGTTTTTTTCTGTGCTTTGTTTTCTCCTTCAAGACTGTCTTTATTGATTTGAACATTTTAACCTAAGAGGGGTAGTTGGTAGTGTAATGCAGTGTGCTTGCTCTGGGTTTATGGATATGTTTATATAAGATTGTTGTTTTTAGTGTATGATGTTGAAAGTATATAGGATTACCCTTGTGGTAATTCTAGCTAGTCAGTCACTAGTAACTTGTGCTTCAGTTGTTATTAGGAAAATTTGTTTCATCCAGAAGTAGTTTAGGGACTAAAAAGAGATGGTCATTGGAAGAGATTGTATAAAGTCTGTCTTACGGACATCTTTAGTACTAATTATATGGTTTAAAGCTTTTGTGGTTCCTATGCCTATATGAAGAGACTTATTTTAAAAGTAACTAATCTTTTTCTTCCCATTCTATTTGGAGGGCTTTTTTTTTTCTTTTCTTTTGAAATGTGGTTCCCTTTGCTACTCTAAACCCATGCTTAAACTGTTCAAAACTGATTGATGGATTTATTTTTGACCTTTTAATTACAACAATTTGTGAATGATTAACATTCCCTGATAAGCTCTTCATAGGTTATTAAGAGGAAGAAAAGTTCTGGGAGTCTGAGTAATTACTGAGATTTTGACTTAGAAAGATCCAGGGGACAAAGTTTGCTGTGTCCGACCTTCTCAAGTTGTTTAAAGAAGATCAGCAGCTAACATTTTTAGTTAAGTTTGTGAGAGCTTGGCCTCTGGACATCCTTGTAGTCTCTTTCCCCTGGTTAGACCCTGAGGGGACCTTTTCAGCACACTATGCTAGGATAAAGGGTACAGATCCAAATGATGCTGAGAGTTGGAAGGTAGCATAAATGAATGACACAGGCCAGATAGAAGGAGAATAATGGCACAGGTTCATAGATAAATGGCAGCTGAGGTTTGACTTGTGCCTGACTTTCTGGAGGCTGAGATCAGTGAGGCGCTGAAGAGCACAGGTTGCAGCTTAAGGGGCAGCTGGTCCTGGCCAGGTCTCCCTCTCTCTCTCTTTTCTTTGAGAAGCCAGAAAACTTAAAAAAATGTTTTAAATGTGAAGTTTTCCAATTTTAAAATATTGGAACTAATTCGGATATTACAAAACACGAAGCAGTCCATTTGTGGGGTTGGCTCTGGCCTGTGGGTTACCCATATGTGACTTCAAGATGCTAGGAATCTTGAGCACATGGGCATGATGCCAGACTGTTCCCCTGTGCTGGAGGTGATCTCCAGCAGTCTGATGATGCAGCATCATTGTAAGGCAACAGGTGTGGACCTGGTTGTCCTGTACCAGGACCTGTGTGGACTACTTCTTCCATTGGGCAATTGACTGCCCTAAATGCAGACTCAGTCATTGCTTTTTCCTGTGATCCGTATGCAAGTCCACATACTTTTTTTAAAAAATAAATTTATTTATTTTATTTATTTATTTTTGGCTGTGTTGGGTCTTTGTTGCTGCATGCGGCTTTCTCTAGTTGCGGTGAGTGGGGGCTACTCTTCGTTGCGGTGCGCAGGCTTCTCATTGTCGTGGCTTCTCTTGTTGCGGAGCACGGGCTGTAGGCGCACGGGCTTCAGTAGTTGTGGCTCATGGGCTCTAGAGCGCAGGTTCAGTAGTTGTGGCACACGGGCTTAGTTGCTCCGCGGCATGTGGGATCTTCCCCGACCAGGGCTCGAACCTGTGTCCCCTGCATTGGCAGGCAGATTCTTAACCACTGTGCCACCGGGGAAGTCCCAAGTGCACACACTTTTATTGTATATGTATCAGTAGTTACTTACTTTTGTCCTATTTAGTGGAGTTGTTAAGGGTTCCTAAAATTGACAACTTTACCAAAGTTGAGTGATGACTCCAAGTTTTCTGCCTCTCGTCATTTGGCATCCTCACAGAACTACAGCACATGCCCACTCTCGGTTGGGATTCCCACAGTCTTGGTATTGAACCATTCCTGGTTTTCAGATGCCACTATTGTTGCATTTTAATTACTAAGTTACTGTAAGTTTAATACTGTTATTATCAAATTATCAAGTTTGTTGTTTGGTTAGTTCTGTGTGTAGTAAATATGTATATGCCTCACTGGCATTTTTGACTTGTGATTTTCAAATAACTAGACATGTGAATTACAGTTCAAAGTGAATCATTCATAGACCTATGGCTAAAACAGACTTGTATATAACTCCGCCATTTATGTTTTACTGTGATACTTTATAGTTATCACAGAGTTCATTTTCCGGAAAGGGGGCATGTGGAGATAATTGCTCTCAGATGGATCTTTACCTTACATATGTGGGATGGAATCAGGGAAGCCTGAGAGCTATTGCTCTGAAAGAAAACCATTGACAGAGAGACACTATACCTGCATGTATGTAGGAGATGTAGCTATAAAATGATGAAGCCATTTCCCAAACCAGTCTTTAGACTTAGTCACCTTGCTTTGTAGCTTATATTTGAATAAACCATGGAGGAAGCCGAGTAGATACATTAAACTGATATATGGATAGTCAAATGTTTAGGTTGTCTTTGGAGCAAGGGGAAATAGTAATACTTTATAACCCTTCTTTACTCCTGTTTCCTCACTTTGCATCCTCTCAATCTACTCCATTTAGGCTCTCTTCCATGCCACTCAGACTGCCCTCCACAAGGTCATCATTTGTTGCTAAATCTAAATGTCACTTCTCTGTCCTTATCTTTTCGACTTCTCAGCAGCATTCCAGGGTGGACCACTCTCTCATTCACACAGCTTTTTCCTCACTTGCTTCTGTGTCTTCCTGAAACTCCAGGTCTTCCTCTGAGGTCACTAGCTGCTCCTCCTCAGACTCCTTTGCTGGTTGACAGCTGAGCGTAGAGTGTTCCAGAACTTGATCTCTTTTCTCTGTATACCCCTTGCTAGCTGATCTCATCTAGTCTCATGGTTTTATGTGCCAGCTACATGCTATGACTCTTGTCTCAGGTACCTAATTGCCTTCTTTGCCTTCGTTTTCTCCATCACAACACACTGTCATCACCACCCACTCAGTTGTTCAAGTTGTAAATCTAGAATTTATCTGTAATTATTTCTTCTTCCTCTCCTCATTGTACTGTCTGTGTCATCAGCAGAACCTGTCAACTTTGCCTCCAAATTGTATCTTATATCGGGCCACCTCATTTTGTCTCCACTGATGTGAGCCCAGTCCAGGCAACTACCATCTTTCATCTGGATAGCTAGAATCGTGTCCTGACTGGTCTCCCTATGTCTGCTCTTGTCCTACAATCGATTCTTCACATATTGGTCAGAGGGAGCTTGTTAAAGTGTAAATCGGATTCCATTACTTACCAGGCCGCTTGGAGTAGAACACAAACTCCACCCTGGTTCACAAAGCTTCATGATCTGGCCCTGCCTGCCTTTTCTGCTTCTTGGATAGAAAGGCCTGGAATGCTCTTTTATCTGACCTTTGCATACTTGGCTCCTTCTTGTAGTTTGCACCCAGCGCCTAGGTCACTTCCTTTCCTGATCACCCCATCTTAAGCAGCTCCCCAGTTGCTCATGATCACTCTTTATGTCTCTGATATTTTTCTTTATACCCTGACCCCCAGAAGTGAGCTTTTTAATCATAAAACAAGGACCTTGTTTCTGCTGGCATAGAGGACAGTGCTTGGCACACAATAGGGATTCAATAAAAATGTACTGATGAAAAAAATGAATCATTCACCAAGGCTTCCACATAGATTATGTTTTTTAAGGCTCAGTAGTAGAGATTGTTATCTGTGTGTGATTGATGAGGAAACTGGGGCTTGATTAAAAGGCTTGCATGAAGAGACATAGTTACAGGGCTCCAACAGAGGAAGTAGAATCTGAGAAACACAGCCCAGGTAAAAACAAACAGGCAAAACTGTATCACAGTGTCTCCACTGGAAAAATCCTGCTGAGAGGCCATGGAGGCTGAAACAAAATGTATGGAGAAGATGAGGCAGGTGGTGGTCAACCACCAACAGAACGATTCTGATGGTGCAGCCTAGCTGTTCTCACCGTGTGCTCGGTGCTCGCTCGGGTCCCCGAGGTGACACTGTTTTCATAATAATAGAATATGTTAGTTATTGGCCTTTTCCCCATGTTGACAGTTGCGCTGATTGTGGGTGGGTGAAACTGCTGGTGCCTGAGCTTGAATCAAGATGGTGGCGTCTGACTGTGCTGGTGGTTATTGTTTTCTTCATTGCCATATGCTCTTAGTAAAAAAAAAAAAATCCTCTTCCCACCCCTTCTGACTTCTCGCGGAGAGTTAGAGAGAAGGATCTCAGACTTCTTGCCTCAGCGAGGATCTCCGCACACTCTCCATCCATTTCTTTTTCTACTTTCCCCTTCTCTGTTTTTTATTTCACCAATTCTGGTACACACTAGTTTTTAAGGCTGGAGGTTCTCGAGCGCTTGCTGCCCAGGACTCCCCCACCCCCTCCCCCGCTGATGGAATCCGAGATGCTGCAGTCGCCTCTCCTGGGACTCGGAGAGGAAGATGAGGCTGATCTTACTGACTGGAACCTGCCTTTGGCTTTCATGAAAAAGAGGCACTGTGAGAAAATTGAAGGCTCCAAATCTTTAGCTCAGAGCTGGAGGATGAAGGATCGGGTAAGTGGATTGAGCCTGCGTCTCTTAGACCTTGATAGCTTTTACAAGTTCAGAGCCAGAAATATGTCCTTGGGAGAGCAGCGATATTTTTTCTCAGCCACATGTTGCAAGTCAACCAAAAAGCACAAACCATTTCAGACTCCATTTTCTTATTGTAAATGGAAAAGTGTTTTGGTTAGTAGTTATTCACTGGATAGTGTTAATTAGATTCAAAGTAAGTTCTAATTCAGACAATGGAAGTTAAGCAAGTTAGAAAATACAGCATTGCAACTATTTACATGCTCTTTGATATATTTTGTACTGTTAAACTTTGTACTGTTAACACTTAGAGGAAAGACAACTTGGGATATAATATTTGTCCCAACGTGGTTAGTCTACTTAGTGGCTAGTTTACTTTTTTTGTCCAAGCTAGGTGGAGTGCAGAAGTCTAATATAGTATGCTAGGAAACAAGATTACTGGCAAATGTTCAGCTAGTAACAAATTAATGCAAAGTTATTTTAAAGTTACAGTGAACTTCATCATAGCCTTCTAAACAGTTTGTCTTGAATCAAGACTTTCATACTTTTATGTGGTGTCGCGATACTGTTAGGTGGAGACAATTTCTCTAATAGTAGAGTATGATGGGTTGGAACTTGGGTCTGGTAGGGGGTCCTCGTGGTGTTGGAGTGTGGATAGTGACTTAAGAAGTTAGTAGGAAAGAAAACAGTCAATTTTGTTAAACCTGTCCTTAATCAACCACCATCTATTTCCTGGCCTCCAGAGCAAAAGGGTGGGACCGTCTCACCCATACACGCTTATAATTTGTTTTGGGTTTTTTTCTGTGCTTTGTTTTCTCCTTCAAGACTGTCTTTATTGATTTGAACATTTTAACCTAAGAGGGGTAGTTGGTAGTGTAATGCAGTGTGCTTGCTCTGGGTTTATGGATATGTTTATATAAGATTGTTGTTTTTAGTGTATGATGTTGAAAGTATATAGGATTACCCTTGTGGTAATTCTAGCTAGTCAGTCACTAGTAACTTGTGCTTCAGTTGTTATTAGGAAAATTTGTTTCATCCAGAAGTAGTTTAGGGACTAAAAAGAGATGGTCATTGGAAGAGATTGTATAAAGTCTGTCTTACGGACATCTTTAGTACTAATTATATGGTTTAAAGCTTTTGTGGTTCCTATGCCTATATGAAGAGACTTATTTTAAAAGTAACTAATCTTTTTCTTCCCATTCTATTTGGAGGGCTTTTTTTTTTCTTTTCTTTTGAAATGTGGTTCCCTTTGCTACTCTAAACCCATGCTTAAACTGTTCAAAACTGATTGATGGATTTATTTTTGACCTTTTAATTACAACAATTTGTGAATGATTAACATTCCCTGATAAGCTCTTCATAGGTTATTAAGAGGAAGAAAAGTTCTGGGAGTCTGAGTAATTACTGAGATTTTGACTTAGAAAGATCCAGGGGACAAAGTTTGCTGTGTCCGACCTTCTCAAGTTGTTTAAAGAAGATCAGCAGCTAACATTTTTAGTTAAGTTTGTGAGAGCTTGGCCTCTGGACATCCTTGTAGTCTCTTTCCCCTGGTTAGACCCTGAGGGGACCTTTTCAGCACACTATGCTAGGATAAAGGGTACAGATCCAAATGATGCTGAGAGTTGGAAGGTAGCATAAATGAATGACACAGGCCAGATAGAAGGAGAATAATGGCACAGGTTCATAGATAAATGGCAGCTGAGGTTTGACTTGTGCCTGACTTTCTGGAGGCTGAGATCAGTGAGGCGCTGAAGAGCACAGGTTGCAGCTTAAGGGGCAGCTGGTCCTGGCCAGGTCTCCCTCTCTCTCTCTTTTCTTTGAGAAGCCAGAAAACTTAAAAAAATGTTTTAAATGTGAAGTTTTCCAATTTTAAAATATTGGAACTAATTCGGATATTACAAAACACGAAGCAGTCCATTTGTGGGGTTGGCTCTGGCCTGTGGGTTACCCATATGTGACTTCAAGATGCTAGGAATCTTGAGCACATGGGCATGATGCCAGACTGTTCCCCTGTGCTGGAGGTGATCTCCAGCAGTCTGATGATGCAGCATCATTGTAAGGCAACAGGTGTGGACCTGGTTGTCCTGTACCAGGACCTGTGTGGACTACTTCTTCCATTGGGCAATTGACTGCCCTAAATGCAGACTCAGTCATTGCTTTTTCCTGTGATCCGTATGCAAGTCCACATACTTTTTTTAAAAAATAAATTTATTTATTTTATTTATTTATTTTTGGCTGTGTTGGGTCTTTGTTGCTGCATGCGGCTTTCTCTAGTTGCGGTGAGTGGGGGCTACTCTTCGTTGCGGTGCGCAGGCTTCTCATTGTCGTGGCTTCTCTTGTTGCGGAGCACGGGCTGTAGGCGCACGGGCTTCAGTAGTTGTGGCTCATGGGCTCTAGAGCGCAGGTTCAGTAGTTGTGGCACACGGGCTTAGTTGCTCCGCGGCATGTGGGATCTTCCCCGACCAGGGCTCGAACCTGTGTCCCCTGCATTGGCAGGCAGATTCTTAACCACTGTGCCACCGGGGAAGTCCCAAGTGCACACACTTTTATTGTATATGTATCAGTAGTTACTTACTTTTGTCCTATTTAGTGGAGTTGTTAAGGGTTCCTAAAATTGACAACTTTACCAAAGTTGAGTGATGACTCCAAGTTTTCTGCCTCTCGTCATTTGGCATCCTCACAGAACTACAGCACATGCCCACTCTCGGTTGGGATTCCCACAGTCTTGGTATTGAACCATTCCTGGTTTTCAGATGCCACTATTGTTGCATTTTAATTACTAAGTTACTGTAAGTTTAATACTGTTATTATCAAATTATCAAGTTTGTTGTTTGGTTAGTTCTGTGTGTAGTAAATATGTATATGCCTCACTGGCATTTTTGACTTGTGATTTTCAAATAACTAGACATGTGAATTACAGTTCAAAGTGAATCATTCATAGACCTATGGCTAAAACAGACTTGTATATAACTCCGCCATTTATGTTTTACTGTGATACTTTATAGTTATCACAGAGTTCATTTTCCGGAAAGGGGGCATGTGGAGATAATTGCTCTCAGATGGATCTTTACCTTACATATGTGGGATGGAATCAGGGAAGCCTGAGAGCTATTGCTCTGAAAGAAAACCATTGACAGAGAGACACTATACCTGCATGTATGTAGGAGATGTAGCTATAAAATGATGAAGCCATTTCCCAAACCAGTCTTTAGACTTAGTCACCTTGCTTTGTAGCTTATATTTGAATAAACCATGGAGGAAGCCGAGTAGATACATTAAACTGATATATGGATAGTCAAATGTTTAGGTTGTCTTTGGAGCAAGGGGAAATAGTAATACTTTATAACCCTTCTTTACTCCTGTTTCCTCACTTTGCATCCTCTCAATCTACTCCATTTAGGCTCTCTTCCATGCCACTCAGACTGCCCTCCACAAGGTCATCATTTGTTGCTAAATCTAAATGTCACTTCTCTGTCCTTATCTTTTCGACTTCTCAGCAGCATTCCAGGGTGGACCACTCTCTCATTCACACAGCTTTTTCCTCACTTGCTTCTGTGTCTTCCTGAAACTCCAGGTCTTCCTCTGAGGTCACTAGCTGCTCCTCCTCAGACTCCTTTGCTGGTTGACAGCTGAGCGTAGAGTGTTCCAGAACTTGATCTCTTTTCTCTGTATACCCCTTGCTAGCTGATCTCATCTAGTCTCATGGTTTTATGTGCCAGCTACATGCTATGACTCTTGTCTCAGGTACCTAATTGCCTTCTTTGCCTTCGTTTTCTCCATCACAACACACTGTCATCACCACCCACTCAGTTGTTCAAGTTGTAAATCTAGAATTTATCTGTAATTATTTCTTCTTCCTCTCCTCATTGTACTGTCTGTGTCATCAGCAGAACCTGTCAACTTTGCCTCCAAATTGTATCTTATATCGGGCCACCTCATTTTGTCTCCACTGATGTGAGCCCAGTCCAGGCAACTACCATCTTTCATCTGGATAGCTAGAATCGTGTCCTGACTGGTCTCCCTATGTCTGCTCTTGTCCTACAATCGATTCTTCACATATTGGTCAGAGGGAGCTTGTTAAAGTGTAAATCGGATTCCATTACTTACCAGGCCGCTTGGAGTAGAACACAAACTCCACCCTGGTTCACAAAGCTTCATGATCTGGCCCTGCCTGCCTTTTCTGCTTCTTGGATAGAAAGGCCTGGAATGCTCTTTTATCTGACCTTTGCATACTTGGCTCCTTCTTGTAGTTTGCACCCAGCGCCTAGGTCACTTCCTTTCCTGATCACCCCATCTTAAGCAGCTCCCCAGTTGCTCATGATCACTCTTTATGTCTCTGATATTTTTCTTTATACCCTGACCCCCAGAAGTGAGCTTTTTAATCATAAAACAAGGACCTTGTTTCTGCTGGCATAGAGGACAGTGCTTGGCACACAATAGGGATTCAATAAAAATGTACTGATGAAAAAAATGAATCATTCACCAAGGCTTCCACATAGATTATGTTTTTTAAGGCTCAGTAGTAGAGATTGTTATCTATGTGTGATTGATGAGGAAACTGGGGCTTGATTAAAAGGCTTGCATGAAGAGACATAGTTACAGGGCTCCAACAGAGGAAGTAGAATCTGAGAAACACAGCCCAGGTAAAAACAAACAGGCAAAACTGTATCACAGTGTCTCCACTGGAAAAATCCTGCTGAGAGGCCATGGAGGCTGAAACAAAATGTATGGAGAAGATGAGGCAGGTGGTGGTCAACCACCAACAGAACGATTCTGATGGTGCAGCCTAGCTGTTCTCACCGTGTGCTCGGTGCTCGCTCGGGTCCCCGAGGTGACACTGTTTTCATAATAATAGAATATGTTAGTTATTGGCCTTTTCCCCATGTTGACAGTTGCGCTGATTGTGGGTGGGTGAAACTGCTGGTGCCTGAGCTTGAATCAAGATGGTGGCGTCTGACTGTGCTGGTGGTTATTGTTTTCTT